GCAGCCCCGAAGCTTCGGGTGTGAAATTGACATGTTTGTGTCGAGGCAAACGGCAGCTGTGCTGCGAGGCAGCTCTAGTGAGAAATCGCCCAAGGTATATCCTTCAATCGCTGTGCTCCATATATGAGACTCATCCCATCTTTGTGATATTGGAGATACTGGTGCTAAGCACACACATGCTACTGTTTCCATGAAATCTGGTGCGATTAGCATGATGCATCCTTGTTATCTGGCAAAATCCATGCAATGGTATCAGATCCCAGCATGATGCTGAGCAGACACTGACGGCCACTTTTCATCCTCAGTATCTGGACCTTCAGGAAACTTCTGTACCTCCAGCACAAGGGCGCATCTTATGAAATAACTCTGTTTAGAGTGCCTACCTTGGCTGGGTGCTGAACATCCGCCCACGTATTTACAGCTAAGTTCTGGGTTGTTTCTGGAGGGACGGCCACAATGCTGTGAAATGACACTGGTGGCACCTCTGCATGCTACGGGCTGGTTGCCACATTGGCTTCCCTCTTCTCTATCTACATCCTTCCAAGAGAGCAGGGTAACAATGATTTGTTGTAAAACTGGGTGGAATAGTCCCCTCCACTCTTTTTGCTCTTTGGTGACTTCAGTGGACAGCACAGGGTTTGGGGAGCTATTGACTCCACTCAAAGGGGCAATTATTAGTCAGTGCTGAACACTGATGACTGCACCCATGTAAGCATGAGGACATTATTGTCTCCGTGGAACAATTCAACAAGTGTGTGATTCAGGCAGTGAATAAATCTATATTCCAGATGTTGGTGAGGGCTTGATTTCCTACACCTTGGTGGAATCCAGTTTATGGTGCAGGAGAGCAAGAAGCCGAGTTTCCTGCCAGGATCCCAGGCGGGCTGATTTGCAGGCTTTCAGGAAGGCCCGGGTGGCAGCTGATGAGATGTGCTGCCAGAGCCATCTGTTACATCTCTGGAGTTAACAGGGCCACAAACTCAAAAACTGTTTGGGAAAAAACCCATAAAATCCCTGGATGTCGTGCGCCTTCTCCAACACCCATCTTGCATAAACAGAGACAGAAGGCGATGATGCCCTTGGCACAGGGCTTCTCACACGGCTCCAGCTCTAGTCATTATACAGCTGTGTGATCCTTACTGTCCACCCCATCTGGACCTGCTGTTCCATGGTAGCAGAACTTGTTTGCTGCTCGTTGATTTTGATGTAAGCATTAAGATTTAGAAATTTTCTGCCACAACTGCGATTGTTGCTGAATTATGTGACTTTCACCACCCACCACCAGGAGTCCTCTCCAGCCTTGTTGCTTACTTGCTGAGATACCTGCTTCTTCTTCTTTTTCCTTTTCCTCCGTCCGTACTGAGTAGCAGCACTGGGGGGGGGGGGTTTCTCCCAAGTCCTGAGGGGAGAATTGCTGTAAATTGGTACAACTGTCTATATGAATACTGGCATCCAGCCAGCAGTTCAACATGCAAAGGCCAGAAACGCCAGTTCAACATGTAAAGGTCATGGGACAGAACAGGTCAAGAAATAAGTCCTTTTCTCCCTTTCTCACAATACAAGAACTCGTGGGCACTCCATGAAGTTCCTGAGCGGTCGGGTTAGAATGGATAAAAGGAAGTACTTCTTCACCCAAAAAGTGATTAACACATGGAATTCACTGCCACAGGAGGTGGTGGCGGCTACAAGCACAGACGGCTTCAAGAGGGAACTGGATAAACATACGGAGCAGAGGTCCCTCAGTAGACAGGAACTCTCAGTCTGGGGCAGGTGATGCTCTGTATTCTTGGTGCTTGGGGGGGCAACAGTGGGAGGGCTTCTAGTGTCCTTGCCCCACTGATGGACCTCCTGATGGCACCTGGTAATTTTGGCCACTGTGTGACAGAGTGTTGGACTGGATGGGCCATTGGCCTGATCCAACATTGGCTTCTCTTATGTTCTTAGTAGCAAGAGGTTCCTTGAAATCAAATTGGGCTGCATTTGTGATGGGGGAGTTGTCTTGGTGTGGCCTGGCATTGGCCAAGGAGTCTCTGCTAAGGCAGCTGTCGCCATGAGTAGGTCTGACAGTCAAACAGGTACATTTGTCTGTTAAGCAGAAACCTCCCTAAAGTATGGTGCAATGTGGCCTAGATGTTCCTTCTCCAAGAAATGCCCAAAGTACCTGCCTACCTACTTCACCCCTGAGTGCAAATTCCCTGTAGTTCTGACTGCTGAGGTTTTGGGGCTCAGTTTCCATCTGAGTGATAAAATGTGGGGCGGGTATAGTTTTACCCTCCCTTCCTATACCGTATGGGACAACTTGGGGGGAGGGGGATTGGGAGTTTGGGTAGCCCTGTTTTCATCCCCATATCTGTATATTTTCAGTTACAAAATGGGTAGGTCTTTCAGAGCTTAAACAGTTCTTAGAAGGCAAATAACAAGGATTGGAGAAACATTTTTCCTGTCATCCTCATTAAGCACGATTCAGTTTTATTGATGGGGTTGTGGTTTAAGGGCACATAAGTTTATTGTTTTGGTTTGCCCACTCCAGAACCGCTGATTTCAGGAGGGGTGTTGAAAGACCTGAGTCAGATTGAGGTGGCGAGAGAGGAGGTCCTAAAACTGATAGACAACTTAAAAACTGATAAATCACCAGGCCCAGATGGCATACATCCAAGAGTTCTGAAAGAACTCAAATGTGAACTTGTGGATCTCCTTACAAAAATATGTAACCTTTCCTTAAAATCTGCCTCCATTCCTGAGGACTGGAAGGTAGCTAATGTCACTCCCATCTTTAAAAAGGATTCCAGAGGAGATCCGGGAAATTACAGGCCAGTCAGTCTGACGTCGATTCTGGGTAAATTGGTGGAAACCATTATTAAGGAAAGAATTAGTAGGCACATAGATGAACAAAACCTATTGAGGCAGACTCAGCAAGGGTTCTGTAAGGGAAGATCTTGCCTCACTAACCTGTTAGTGTTCTTTGAGGGGGTGAACAAACATGTGGACAAGGGGGATCCAACAGATATTGTGTACCTTGACTTCCAGAAAGCTTTTGATAAAGTTCCTCATCAAAGACTCCTAAGTAAGCTCAAAAATCATGGGATAAAAGGACAAGTCCTTTTATGGATCAAAAACTGGCTAATTAATAGAAAACAGAGAGTGAGTATAAATGGGCAGTTCTCCCAGTGGAGGGGGGTAAGCAGTGGGGTACCACAGGGATCAGTACTTGGTCCACTGCTTTTTAACTTGTTCATTAATGATTTGGAGTTGGGAGTAAGCAGTGAAGTGGCTAAATTTGCAGATGATACGAAGTTGTTCAGGGTGGTGAAAACCAGTGAGGATTGTGAGGCACTCCAAAGGGATCTGTCAAAGATGGGCGAGTGGGCGTCAACATGGCAAATGGGGTTCAATGTGGCCAAGTGCAAGGTGATGCACATTGGAGCCAAAAATCCTAAATATAAATACACATTGATGGGGTCTGAACTGGCAGAGACAGATCAAGAGAGAGATCTTGGAGTTGTAGTAGATAACTCACTGAAAATGTCGAGACAGTGTGTGACTGCAATAAAGAAGGCCAATGCTATGCTGGGGATTATTAGGAAGGGTATTGAAAACAGATCAGCCAATATAATAATGCCCCTATATAAATCAATTTCTCACAATACAAGAACTTGTGGGCACTCCATGAAATTGCTGAGCGGTCGGGTTAGAACGGATAAAAGGAAGTACTTCTTCACCCAAAGAGTGATTAACACATGGAATTCACTGCCACAGGAAGTGGTGGCGGCTACAAGCATGGACGGCTTCAAAAGGGAATTAGATAAGCATATGGAGCAGAGGTCCATCAGTGGCTTTTAGCCACAAGGTATAGATAGGGGCTCTGGGGAAAGGGATGCTCTGTCTTCTTGGTGCTTGGGGGGGGGGTCAAGAGTGGGAGGGCTTCTAATGTCCTGGCCCCACTGGTGGACTTCTTGATGGCACTGGTATTTCTGGCCACTCTGTGACAGAGTGTTGGACTGGATGGGCCTTTGGCCTGATCCAAAATTGGCGTCTCTTATGTTCTTATGTTTTATTATAATAGGAATGAAAGTAAAAATATTAAGGATGGTCTTTCTTTCTGACAGAGTGATAGCATTTGTTTATTTAATGGAAACCTACACTTCCTTTAGAATCCCCCCAAATACATCTGGTAATATGCTTTTTAAAAAAGCTGATCAGTTAACTTGTTAAAGTGTGGAATAATCAACTGAGGATTATACTTGGGTAATAGCCTTAATTTTGTATTTGCTAACTATCCTGGATGGCCCAGGCTGCCTGACTCTCATCAGACCTCAGAAGCTAAGCAGGGTCAGCCCTGGTTAGTATTTGGATGAGAGATGACTAAGGGAGTCTAGGGTTGCTATACAGAGGCAGGCCATGGCAAACGACCTTTGTCTGCCTTTTGCCTTGGCCCAGATGGCCCACGTTAGCCCAGTCTTCTCAGCTCTTGGAAGCGAAGCAGGCTCAGCCCTGGTTGGTACTTGGAGGGGAGACCGCTAAGGAAGCCCAGGGCTATTGAAGCTCACTTGTTTTTGTCACGTTATCTCTACAGTTAGAGTGTAATATTGAAACGGCCTGTATTTTCCTATTACTGTTGTGGTCGTTCACATATTACTGTTGTTATTACATAAATCATATAGATGATGTATTGGGGGATACCCCTTATTTCATAATAATGTTGAAGCCATACTTTGCAAATTGTTCTGAGTTATACTTCAGTTGTATCTTGCTTTGTTTTGATTGGTATTGTTACATGTCTGTAAAAATATAAATATAAAACAAAAAATATTAATAAAAAAAAGGAAGGTCAAGGCTGCTCTGCTTCTCTCTAGCTTTGAAAACACCACGAGGGGTGGCCGTAAGGGAGCTGCGACTGGGTGGCATTCCTCACTGCCCGCAGCTATCCTTAATTTCTCTAGTTATGGCTGCTGCTTCTTTTTTGGGATGTCAGTCAGATCAAACACAAACTTTGGGATAGGATGGAAGGTATTTGGGAAGCATGTGATTCTGCTGTTTGCAGGAAATTATTCTTTTAAAAAAAAACACCCTTTTCTCTGTCATTGTTCAGGAAAGGGAAACTACTGGACCTTGGATCCAAACTGTGAGAAGATGTTTGACAATGGGAATTTCCGCCGCAAGCGCAAGAGGCGCTCAGAGAGCAGCGCATCTAGAGTGGCCTCCCCATCCTCGGCCTTGGGGCTCTTGAAGACTGAGGACAGGCCGCCCAGCACGACTGCCCCAGGGAAGCCATGCGGGAGAAGCCCCTCCCCTGACCTGCATCCAACTGCCTCCATGAGGGAACATTCCGGAAGTGCCTCCTCGCCTGGGGTTGCCTCGCCCACGCCAAGTTGCCTGAGCGCCTTCTTCAGTGGCATGGGCTCGCTGGGCAGCGGAGGAGGGGGCCGCCTGGCGGGGCACTTTGGCCGTGAGCTGCATCACAGAAGCCTTTCTGCTGGGCCGCTGAGTGCGGGGAGCTTCCCGCCTGCCAGCAGCTCCTCCCAGGAAGTCCCTCCTACAGAGCAGCTGCAGCGGGCGTCCGGTCCTGCTGGTGCCTACGACAGCCCTTTGCCCCCTGGCAGCGGCAGCCAGGCTGGACAGTACAACCACCTGTACAACTTCACAGTCAGTAGCCTCATCTACGCACGGGAGGGAACGGATGTGTAGGGTGTGTGGGGGGGTGTCTTGCTCTCAGAAGGGGCAGGGCTCACTGGGTGCCCCTGAAGACCAGGCCTTCCGCCCTCCACGCAGGACACCTCCCTGTGATGGGGTTCCTCCCCCCCCAAATGAAACGCTGTTGAGATACAATCTAGGGCGGCGCTTAAAGTTTTTCCACATTGGGGGAGTGTGCCACCGAATTCTGCAAGTGAGGGCCATGTGAGACTTTAGAAGTGTTTACTGTTGGAGTTAGATTTAGTGTTTAGCAAATAGCTAGAAAGAGGACCAAGTGTATAAAATTAGCTGTGAAAAAGCACGTTGTCTACTGGTTGGGGGGGGGGCTGTGTGTGGAGTTCAGCCTCTGTTTACAAGCACTGGAGCATCAAAGAAGCAGATGAAGAGATTTGATGAAGTGCCTTGAGTAACAGAATGATCCAGATACTTGTGCCTATAATGACTTGTCGAAGCTACTCTCAGAGCTGTGGGTCCATGGAGCCCTTTGCTTCATGCCACCTGCCATGCGCCTGACCTGAGCCCCTGTGACCACAGGCCTGCATTGGACCTGGTGAGTGGCAAGCTGTGCAGACTATGCTAGACCAAAGAGTGGTGTGTTTTTTTTTGTCAGCCCAGCAAAAGTGCACTTTGGTTGGACTTTGTGGAGGCTTGGTACCCACTCATTGTGTGTGGGATGTCTGTGAGTGTGGCTTCATGGGAGTCAGTCCCATCAAAATCAGTGTCCTCAGAGCCACCACCCAGGTGTCAAGAAAAGACAATCCTCCTGGGGCTGCCGGTCAAGGGACTGTGAACTGCAGTCCAAACTCCCTGAATGCAGAGAGTGAGCATGTCCTGGAGGAGGCTGACCAGTGCGTGGCTCTCAGAGCATCCAGCTGCCCCATCCCAGAAGGGCCGTAATGATCCTGTGGGTGGGCCCTTGCTCCCGCATGCGTGGAGGGTGTGCGAGGTCTGATGCCAGCGATGTGTGGCCCAGAGCAGATTGTGCTCAGCCGTGGTACCAAAGACAGTTTGAGCAGGAGAACAATGCCTTGCGTCCCTGGAATACCCCACTTCATACGTTTATTTCACACAAGACTGTATTTGTAAATTATGGTCTTGGATCTGTACTTATTTAAATGTTTTTATAACATTTTAATGGTTTTTTGCCTGTCTTCAGTAGTAATCTTTAAGGAAATACTGGGAATAAAAATGGCAAAGTTGTTACCTTTACTTCTTCATTTTTATTTTTATTTTTTTGCAGTTAATGAGCCGTATGGGTTAGAAAAGCTGGATTGATGTGCTAACCACAGTGCTCTCTGTGTCCTAGAACTCCGGCTGCAAAGTTCTCCTGCACAGACTCCATGGCCGTGAACAGAGCGTGGGTCTCGCACATCTCCCATTCATTTCAGGGGGACTCTTCTGCCCCTTTGCATCCATCGATCCTGTTCAGTAATGAGAGCTTTATTGAAGAAGAAGAAGAAGAAGAAGAAGAAGAAGAAGAAGAAGAAGAAGAAGATAGGAGAAGAGATTGGAATTATACCCCGCCCTTCACTCACTTGGAGTCTCAGAGCGGCTTACAAACTCCTTTCCCTTCACCTCCCCACAACAGACACCCTGTGAGGTGGGTGGGGCTGAGAGAACTCTGACACAAACTGCTCTTTTTCAAGGACAGCTGTGCCAGAGCTTGTGACTGACCCAAGGTCACATCAGCAGGTGCAAGTGGAGGAGTGGGGAATCAAACCCGGCTCTCCCAGATTAGAGTCCGCACACTTAACCACTACACCAAACTGCATCCCCCAAAGGTCACTGCAGCTTCCCCGTTTCTCAGTGGAGGAAGAAGACTGTTTCGTGGGCAGATTTGCTCCTTCCAACACCGTGAATGAGTGGGCCTGTGCCAAGAAGCCTCAGATTGAATGGCTGATTCACTGTTTCTTGGCAGCAGGGTCCACTCTTAAGCAAAGTCTGCAATCCCCATCCTATTACATTGCTTATTGGATGTCCTATCCTGTTGATTGCTTTGACTTGTACCACGTAATCAGCCTTGAGCCTCAGTGAGAAAGGCAGAATATAAATACCAAATAAAGAAATAATCCAAACAAAATTCTTTCTTATTCTTGCAGAGGAGCCTTGTGGTTGAAAAGAGATAATTCCACTGCATGTGTGTCACCTGAGTCTCTCACCGATGAGACCAGTGAGCAAACAGCACTTATTTAGTTATTTAGATATTCTCCACTTTTCTCCAAAGGTAAATTACAGCTTTGCTCTCTTTTCTTCCACATTTTTTCAACAGGCTGGTATATACATGAAATCTCTATTCATCTTTTCAGTAGTCTCACAACAATGACACTGCTGTCTGAAACAGGAGTTCTTACCTGTTCCAAATATTGGCCAAAGAATAACACATGGCATTCCTCACAGGTGCAAAAAGTATGCACCAGGTACACATGAAGCTGCCTGATACTGAATCAGACCCTGGGTCCATCGAGGTCAGTATTGTCTACTCAGACTGGCAGCAGCTCTCCCGGGTCTCAGGTGGAGGTCTTTCCCATCACTCATTGCTTGATGCTTTTATCTGGAGATGCTGTGGATTGAACCTGGGACCTCCTGCATGCAAAGCAGATGTTCTGCCACTGAGCCATGGCTCCTTCTCAATAAGGTATCTCATCCTGATCAGTTTCAAGCCACAAATGCTCTGTTTTATCAATATACACCCCAAGAATCACTTAGTCAAGTCAGGTCAAACTCAGGTTTTCATGGCTGCCATGACAACCATGGGACTGCCTCAGGTTGTGATGGGCCCAGTGCATGAAAAGGGCATATTCTGGATAGTCATTTCAGTAGTGTGTGCCTTACTGTTGAGTTACCAAAATCAAGATGGGGCCTGGAGCACTCCCAAAACTACAACTGATCTCCAGATGACAGAGAGCAGTGCTTTAGGAGGAAATGGCATCTTCAAAGCTATACTACTATTAAATATATTCTAAGTTGCCAACCAGGATGGATGAGAAGGAGGTAAGACCAAGACTGAAAAATAAGGGAGCGGGTATTAAAAGTGGGGATAGAAGAATGCCAGATCATGAAAGGAAAAGGACAAATTAAGGAACGGAAAAGAATTTGAAATGTAAGGAAAAGACAACAAAAGAGTTTTTCTATTTTGCTACAACACACTAACAGGGCTGCCTCTTTCCAACATCTGGCTGTGCAGGAGCTGGATGGAACTAAAGGAAGAGGGAAACCGCAGATTGCTGGGGATAAGGACCTTGTTAGGCAGCTGCATCCTGGCAATGAGTGCAGCTTGTCCTGCCTGGTCTTGCCTTGCTCCAGTGCTGGCATGGCAATCAAGGGCATGAGAATCAAGGGTTTCCCTTAGACCCCAAGTAAATGTTGCAGAAAGGCCCAGCCAGCAGAGTCAGAATAACTCCTGTTTACTCCTCTGCCTTCCCTGGATGCTTAGTGGCTGCGATGCAGAACTGCACCAGAAGTTTTTAAAGACAGATCCAGGTGGGGGCAGCCACGTTGGTCTGAAGCAGCAGAACAAAGTTTGAGTCCAGCGGGGGCACCTTTAAAACCAACGAAGTTTAATTCAAGGTATGAGCTTTCATGCGCAAGCACACTTCTTCAGATACAGGGAACAGAACCTCTTCAACAATTACATATAGGGGCTCCAGGAATGACCAGTTAGATGCGTAAGAACTGGGTGATTACAACTGAGATTGGATTAAGGCAAGATTAGCATACAAATACAAATGTTAACATGTAGATGTGAGAATGACATTTGAGTCCAGTGGCACCTTCAAGACAAACAACGGTCAATACTAGGTACAAGCGCGAACTCCTTAGATTCCCTGAAACAGATTTCCTCAAATATAACATATAGGTGTGTGTGTGTGGAGGGGTGTTAGTTGCCAGGAAGAGTCAAGATGCCTACGTAACTGAGCAATAAATACAGCTAAACAGAAGTTTTTAAAGTATTCCATGACACTAGCGTCAGGAGTCCTCCAGCTGACTTGGACCCCAGGAATTTTGTCCCCCAGGTCCCCTGCTGCCAACTGGGGGTGCAAGGACAATGGCCTACATACAGGTAAGCATGGGGGGGTGCCTGTAACTCACACTATTTCCTCCATGGCTGCGGTCACATTGGCAGTGGGTGGTGCTATAGTAGCATTACCTGAGCGGAATAAATGGGCCCCCCTAGATGAGAACATCTGCCTCCCCTGGCGCAGTTGTCAGCAACTCGTGCTGTTCTGCAATGGAAGTGGAATAAACAGATACCAGGGAAAGTCCAGTATTAACGGGTTGTTCAGGGCTCCCTCCGGGTTTTCCAGTGTCTGAACTCTTCTGCAATGAAAGGAACCTGAAAGGGATGTCGGACCCATTTCCACTGCTGGGGTAGGTTTTTTTGAGTTTTTGCCTATGTGTGCATGAGTGCGCATGCACATAAGTACATACATAAGCCCATATGCATGCACATGGGAGCATATGCACCCAACTGCATTTTTAAAAATGACCAGGTGTGGATGCTTGTCTATGGGATGGCCGCAGGGTAACCTGCAGCAGGGTGTCCTGTCTGGATGATATGCCCCAGAACACTTTTAACTGGTACAATTAGAGGTGCCACCATACTGCACCAAGCTGCCAGTGTGACTGCAGTCCATGTCTACCCACTCTGCATGCAGCCTGTCACGGGGATATCCGAACCATGCAGTGATTGGTGGGAGTCAGTGATCAGTACTTTGTTTCTATTCTGCAATCAGTACTTCATTTATACTCCGCCTTTCTCCCTATAACAGCTTTACATTGTGCTTTTCTTCTCCATTTAACCTCACAACAATGCTGTGAGGTAGGTAAAGCTGAGAGTGTGTGACTAACCCAAGGACACCCAACCAGCTTGCAAGGCAGAGCAGGGCTTTGAACTTGGGTCTTCCAGACTGTTCCAGACTCAAGGGGTTAACTCTGTGCCTTGGCGAGGGGTGTTTCTGTCAGTCACTCATTTCCAAACTGGGCAGAACAACAGG